TATTATATCTTCATATGTTTGCATCACCCTTTACCTTCATAAACTGCAGTGTAATGTGGATGAGTTATGGTCTACTTTCAGGTCTGTAACGGAAGACAAGAATGTGGTGATGAGTCAGATGAAAAGGAATGTAAGGTTCCAGTCATTGAACTGAAGCTCCAAGGGGGCATGAAGCCACACCAGGGGAGGGTTGAGGTCAAAGGTCAGCTATTATTTTGTATTTAGCATAATACAGAAAATGAATTGCCTCCAATAATATTTTTTTGCAGGAAGTCTGTGAATCAATGCACTCATTAGAAACTTAAACTTCTCCTTACTTTTTAGGTTGTTTTTGGATTAAAATGGGCCATCTCACTGCTGCCAGAAGTAACTGCAAAGTTTGAATTTTGGAAGCTTCAGGCATGAAAAGTAAAAAAGCAGTCGCCACTTTCATTTCTCATATTTGAGTAAATTAACAACAATTTTGGGGGGAAGGGATGAGATATGGAGTCTGGGATATTTATTTTATGGCTTTTTGCACCATAAATAGGCACTTAATTCTGCTTCTCATTCAGACTACTGGACTATAATTCTTTAATTTTCCATAAAGGCTGATAAGGAGGAGAATCAAAATGAGCAATGTCACATATATGTAATGCTGGTCTGTCTGAAAGAATGTTGTCATAAATTAGCATATGTACTAATATATGATGCAGCAGAATCATTCTCACCTGACCCTTCTGTTATTCCTGAAAAGTTTTATACCAGGAGGCTTATTATGTGGGATAACATACATTTATCTTTGGCTTAAAATGGTATTTACCATGAAACATATTGTGAGGGCAAAATTTCTTAATGAAACTTCCTTTGAAATTGTAAGAACCAATTTGGCTCCTTCACTGCATTGTCTGTTTTCTGTCTCATCTTTTTTCCAAGAATTTAAAGATGCCAATGCTGCCAAAGGGAGAGCATCAAACTGCATACTTTTAACATCGCTCTTTCTGTTTTCATTCAAGCATAACATGAGCTTCTCATGCATGCTTTTTAACCCTTTCACTGGCATTGGCATCTCCTAGTGCCCAGAATATGCCTATGTGTCCTCCAATGACACCTCTAGGAGGAGGTTGGAGACTTCAAGTTTTCATCTGCCAGTGAAAGATTTAAAAACAAATAATCTCTGTCAAATGTAGCTAATCTTGATCAAGGATGTCTCATCATAATGGGAAGGTTCATGAGCCTTTTAAATACAATTGTAACCATTGCAGTTCTTGGAATGCAGATTTTTAAAATATTAAGCACCACTATTTTGAGTTTGGTGTTTCTTTTTGTCATGTTCAGTTTTGTCATGCTGTATCATTTAATTAATTGGCATAACATTAAACTACTTTGTGCATTTAATCTTATTTTGCAATGTCAAGAAAAGTAATTTTGGGGGCTTTCTTGTGGATTGAGTGTCATATTTGTTCAGTTGTATAAGTTTGAAACATCCTTATATATTCCTTCTTGCTTGGATTTTCTTTTGCTTATGAGACTTGTTTTCTGTTTGGAAGCTTATGGAGAATGGGGTGTGATCTGTGATGACAAGTTTGGGCTGTCGGATGCAGAAGTCATCTGTCGTCAGCTGGGCTATTCTTTGGGAGCCTTGAAGACATTTTCTGGTTCAGCATTTGGCTCTGGAAATGGAAAGTTTCTCTTGGATGACCTGACCTGCACAGGGAATGAATCTTCCATCGCCGAGTGCCAGTTTCCTGGCTGGGGACAGCATGACTGTCATGCTGAAGAAGTAACAGCTCTTCTTATCAGTTTCATCTCCATTTACTGTTCTCTGTACTGTAGGGTCCACTGCACAGAGGTGGACTCAGGACTTATGCAAAACACACAAAAAGATGTCAAGTAAAACCATTGAAACTGAAACATGAGGTGAATTGCCATATGAATGCATGTGGTTGTAACTTTTGAGGCCTCACATTTTTCTGAAATTTTCAGTTCTGTATCTCCTTTAGGTATAGTGAAGGTATAAAGGGGAAGAAATTTTTGTTCCTTACCTTTATTTTTGCTAGTGGTCCGGTTCCATACCACAAATGTCAACATGCTGCACAGTTTCTGGTGTGAGACTAGTTTGCCTCACCTTCTCATCACTGCACATAGTGTGCAGTGAAGAAGAGGTGAAGGAGTCCTTCATCCCATTCAGAAGGTACTGGTCTGGAAAAGAGTGCAGGGTGTATGGAATTCTTTAATTGGTCTTGTTATAATGACAGAGAG